AAGAAGAAACGACCCTCAGAAAAGAAGAAAGTGAGAGCGAAAAGCCTATTGATGTGGTTTAAAACCTATATCAATTATTATACTACCCACTTACAAAGCATCGTTCAATATGGCTATGTTATCATCCAAGTTCAATGATATTTTTTTTTATATTATAACTAAATAATAACAGATATAAAAATTTAATAATTATAAATTAACTTTGGTGTTTCTTTCTTTATCGATTATTACATAATCAATAGAAAATGACGTGGTCGAGAGCTTTTTTTTTTAAGTATCGAACAAAAACATAACATATATATTGATTAAATTTAGGGAACAAATTGAAACAGACGAAGAAATGAAAATTAATAAAAGTGAATTTTTTTACCAAAATGGTGTAGTACAAAATTTACCTTAATGGGCAATTTTTAAAAAAGCTTAATTATCGTAAAATGCATATAACATAATCATTTAATATATTACGATTTTCTTCAATTACAAAAATCTAATTTATATGTGTTCTACCACGATAATCAATTACAAAAATGTCTGTAAGGATTAAAACAATATGATAATCGATTACTTGTAATCCATTATAATTGTGCGTTTAAGAAAAAATATTCTGGTAATCAATTACGTTTATATTGTAGTTGATTACAGTCATGATTATGAAAATTAGAAATCGTTTTATCCTTATACAACTTTCAATTAAAATTAATATCGTTAACACCTTTCGTTATTTCAACTTCAAAGTCGTCCAAAGTCCCATGACTTTTATATTGACCATTTGATTGAACTAAAACCATATGTAAGAGACACGATTTCTTCGTTCCCTCGACGACTTGAGTAGTTTTAGTTGTATAAACTTTTTAAAATTTGACAATTTTTAGTTTTGTAAATTTGTACGATTTCTATAAAATAAAAGTTGAAGTTGTAGGATTTTTATTTACCCTGAAATTTATTTTAAACATACTCGTTTTAGTAATTTGTGTATAAAAGTGCATCATTTTGGTAGAAAAACCAACAAAAATAAATTTCAAAAGAGAAAGTAATTTGCATGAACTTAAACATGCTCGAGCAAACTAAGGTAAACAACAATTTGAATGTGGCTGTGTGAGTAAGAGAAATTAAATTACAAACAGTGAGTGAGATCTAAAGAGAAGCAAGTCCCACTAATTCATTAATGCCAGCAACCACCCACCCTATTTATCCACAGAATTTCTACCACCCCACTTCACACATGCCAGAGATCCACTGCTATCACTTTCTTTCTTTCGTGTTCTTCTTTATCAGTAGAAAAATGATACCTCACATACCCTGCATTCTCTCTGCGGTTCATGTTATACTCCTTTTTTCATCAACCCAATTCAGCATCACCGCAGAAGCAACGAGAGCCCTGGAACAAACCCAACTCCATTTCCAGGTAGCAAACTCCACATGCGAGGGAACACTCTACCCGGACCTCTGCGTCTCAACCCTTACCTCTTTCCCAGATCTCACCTCAAAAACTGTACCACAAATGATATGTTCTGTCGTGAACCACACCATATACGAGGTCACATTGTCCTCCTCCAACTGCAGCGGTCTCCGAAAGAAGCTCCCGAGTCTCAACAAACTCGAACAGCGAGCTCTCGACGACTGCCTCGACCTCTTCGACGAAACCGTGGAGGAGCTCAAAACCACCGTGGCGGATCTCTCCCAAAGCACAATAGGGTCGAAGCGTTACCACGACTCGCAGACTCTCTTAAGCGGAGCCATGACCAACCTATACACGTGTCTGGATGGCTTTGCGTACAGCAAAGGGCAAGTGAGGGAGAAGATTGAAGAGGGGCTGTTGAAGATTTCGCATCTCGTAAGCAACTCGTTGGCCATGCTGAAGAAAGTGCCCGAAAAGAAGAAACAGTCGAAGAACGAGATTTTTCCCGAATATGGAAAGATGAAAGACGGGTTCCCGTCGTGGGTTACCCCTAAAGACCGGAAGTTGCTTCAAGCTCCGGTGAATGAAACGAAGTTCGACCTTGTTGTGGCCCAAGATGGCAGTGGCAACTTCACCACTATAGGTGAAGCAGTGGCTGCAGCTCCAAACTCCAGTGCGACCAGGCAAGTATACTACCACCTTATCCATCACGTTATCACCTCATTCATCGGTACTATGTTTTTCTTTTCTTTGTTTTTTTTTTTGGTAATTGCAACTTGTTAAACAAACTCTTTAATATTTTTATATAGAATCACAAGAAAAATTAAACTAGAAGAAAGATTCACCAAATCTTGTAATGTATGACAGATGATCTGGTAATAGCGATAGGATATTAAATGATGCATTGAATGCATTTTCAGAATAAAAGTAAAAAGCCGTAAAATAAATAGTTTGTGTAATATTAATATTAAACTGGTATGATATAATCGAAAACCATAGCCATTATGTGGCTTTAAATTGTTTGACGTTTTATGAAGTGGTAAATTTTTGAAATGTGTAGATTTGTGATACACATAAAAGCTGGGGCATACTTCGAGAACGTGGAGGTAATAAGGAGGAAGACCAATCTGATGTGGGTCGGAGATGGAATTGGAAAGACTGTTGTGAAGGCAAGCAGGAACGTCGTTGATGGCTGGACTACTTTCCAATCTGCCACTGTCGGTGCGTTTTACTCAAACCTTTCCTAATTTCCTTATACTGCTGTTCCTCATAGAAAGTTGATTGGTATCCATTCTTTAAGGATAACATAAAATAAACATCAAAACAAAAAGTCCAACAACTAATTTGTCTGAATTAATGTTCACTCAATAAAAAGGCAATAATAATAGCAGAAGAAAAAACAGAGACAAAAATATCATTCCTTACATTATTTGAATTATTACTAGTATATAGTAGTAAAGGTAAAACAAACATTCGAATATCACAATCACATTATCACAATAAAGCGGGAAGCACTTAGACCTTTACCTGTATTTTCAGATGCTCTACATAGTAACCTAACCTATGTTCGAATATCACAATCACGGGCTGGTGTCGGTTCTCTGACAAGTATGCTGATAAGAATTACTACTATCGGAACCTGCGCTTTGTCATTTTCTATATCTTTTTCATTTCTGGAAAGCAAATTAGATTTGAACACGAACAACTAGAATTAATTAACTACTTCTTTCAAGCCTACCAATTCAATTCATATATTAAAGCTCGTAACATATCAATTGTTTTTTTTTTTCCTGCGATTAACTAATTAATATCAAGCTTATTTTATTACAAACAAAATTGAAAGGTATATTTAGCGAGGAAAATTTCTTTTGCAACACTAGTAATTGAGTAACAATTATTTTGTTGGCTGTTAATTACATGTAAATTATTATATAAGTAATGTCATTTTTTCTCTTGATAATTGACTTAAGATCTAAGTTCATGAAGAAGAATTAACATGTGAATAATTTGGTATATATATATTTCTTTAAAATTGAAAATTGATGGATTTATAGGATGGACAGCACAAAAAGGAGTTAGAGATATATTGCATAAGAACTTTGTCTTGTATATATTGTAAAACCAAAAATAACGTGTCCTTCATGATAAGGCACCTTGGCCTACATATATTTCTTTTATATTTTATGACAGCTGCCGACAACACTAACTATAAACACTTACCTCAGCTTTTTAAATTATCCTTTCGGAAAACATAATGAATGAAGCTAATTGTTATGTATGGAACTGATGTTTGTGGCGTTCAGCTGTGGTTGGAGACGGATTCATAGCAAAGGGTATAACCTTTGAGAACTCAGCTGGGCCCAGCAAACACCAAGCTGTGGCTCTAAGAAGCGGGGCTGATTTCTCAGCCTTCTACCAGTGCAGCTTTGTTGCCTACCAAGACACGCTCTATGTCCACTCTCTGCGTCAATTCTACCGCGAATGCGACGTTTATGGAACCGTGGACTTCATCTTTGGTAATGCAGCAGCGGTGCTCCAGAACTGCAACTTGTACGCAAGAAAGCCTAATCCAAACCAGAGGAACCTGTTCACCGCACAAGGCAGAGAAGACCCTAACCAAAACACCGGCATTTCCATCATAAACTGCAAGGTTGCAGCAGCTGCTGATTTGATCCCTGTGAAATCTGAGTTCAGGAATTACCTGGGTCGTCCCTGGAAGATGTATTCGAGGACTGTTTTTCTGAATTCATTGATGGAGGATCTGATAGACCCTGCAGGGTGGTTGGAATGGAATGGGACGTTTGCATTGGATACTTTGTATTATGGAGAGTACAACAATAGAGGTCCTGGTGCAAATACAAGTGGCAGAGTTACGTGGCCTGGTTATAGAGTCATCACCAACTCCACTGAGGCAAGCCAGTTCACAGTTGCAAATTTCATTCAAGGCAATGAATGGCTGAACTCTTATGGCATTCCATTCTTCTCTGGCTTGACTTGAATAAGTGCATGCTCTTATTCCATGAAGTATCACTTTTTTGGTCTTTGCTATTTCTGGTGCCACTTAGCAATCAAGTAAAAAGAAATAAATGTTCTCATTGGAGACCTCACCACTAGGAAGGTTAGGGACATACTTCAAGATGTGGAGGACCTAAGAGCAAAGAAGCTCTTGAATAAGTTTTATCTATATTATTTGAATACTTTGAATACAAACCTATGCTTCAATGAGAAAATATCAAAGTGCTGAATTGTATGGTCTAAGTAGAACATAATTAATTCTCACTTTGTCGTAATTTTTAAGTAATTAAGTTGTTTGAATAATGATTAAATCCTTTATAAAATTTGTAAACCGAATTATATTTTGGATTAATCAATTAATGGGTTTTAATTTAGTTTTATTTCAAGTTGTAATTAAAATTCAATTCACAACTTTTGTCATCAACGTTTGAAAAACCAAAATAATACATCATTAAATATTTTTTGAATGATTTTTAGTTGCCATTATAATCAATAATTAAGTAATGAGATCATGGTTATCAAACTCTAAGGAGTTAACTCGTAAACTCTTACGAGTTTACGTTTCTAGACATGACTTCTGAGTTAATTCGGAAGTAAACTCGTTTTCTACATAAACTCGATAGAATCAACTGTAAAATCAGTGGGATCGTATAAAATCGTAAGTTTTGAGCGATTATGCAAACTTAAAAGTTATATATTTAATGAAATACATCAAAATTAATAGCAATAATTCATGTATTTATGTTTTACAATATTTATTTTTATGAACAATATAACTATAAATTTTATTTATTTAAAGTTATATAATTTTGTAGACTAATTTAAATTAAGATATTATTTATATAATTTTTTTTCATATGAAGTAAACTCTTACGAGTTTACGAGTCGAATTTATCAACTCTCACTAATTTACATAAACTCTCGAATTTGATAACCTTGAATCAGATCATTATTAGCTTACTGCTGAATTTGTTTACATTATATTATCATATATTATGTACTTTCTTATATTAGTTCTTAAAATCACTATATATCAAAATTTGAGATACACTAATACGAAGGAATAATATAAAAATTCAATAAGAATAGGATTAATTAGTTATGTGTTTATATTATTTACAATTTTGTCACAAAATTGAATAAGAAATTTTTGTCAGAAAAATCTATATCGATAAGATTTGTAATTTTTGTAAGAGAAAATTGTATGCTCAATAATTTTTACTAAATTTATGTTGTGCTTTTATTTTTGTCCTTAATGGTGAGTTGTTAACAGTAATGATGTAGAAGTTATCAACTATGGGTGATGAGAGCTGGTGATGGAAAAAGATTGTCGCTCACAAGTGTTTCATTATTAGAGGATTTTATTTGTAATTTTTGTCAAAGCAATTAAACAAAATAGTTTGCAATTTTGGTAAAAGAATTGCACGTGAAAGTTTTCAATTTTTGTCAAGAAAAATTATATAAAAACTTTCACTTTTTATAAAAAATTGTATAAAAGTTTGTAATTTTTGTTAAGAAAGTTACATATTAAATAATAATATTTTTTTATTGAGTATTCATGACGAAGATATTAAAGTACCGATCTATAAATATGTTTATTTTTGTTTCTCCTATTTTTATAAGTGCATTCCGACTAGAAAAGAAGTATTTTTTTTACGTAATTTATGGATGGGATATATGAGAATCACTTCTCCATATAATTATGTGTGCATGGTGGAACAAATTTCGGAAAGAGTTGATATTTTTTGGTTACAGTAGAGAGAAATTTCTAATGACTACCAAATTAGTCAATACAATTAAATATGAGCAACCTCGGAACTAAACTCAAAATCAAGTATCTGTAGATTAGATGAGAACAACAAGGTGGTTGTTTTCTTTAGTGAATAGTGAAAATTTATAAATAAATAAATAACCAAATAGGTTGGTTATGCGACATTTTTTAATTATTTATTTTCCTTGAATTTAAAGTTTCAACGGAATTATTAAATGTTTTAATTTAATTTTAAATTACATGCTCCCAATAAATATTTAATATCTATAGATATAATATTGTAAAATAATCAAGTTGATCTGATTAAAACATTTCACGTAACAAAGGTCGAGAACCGAAGTGAAGAAAAAGAAATAATTGGGTTAAAAGCCTCTATCAGCCCACACTTTAAAGTCCAAATTGACATTAGGAGGCAAATGAATAGAATAAGGTTGTTTCTTCATGCATCCCATCAAATTTCTTTCAACACCTCTTCCAGAATTTTTGATCCAGAATGAAGAAATGACCATAGAATAAGTGGTTCATTTAATATTGTCTAGACATCACGGGATACAAATGGTGCAGAGTTATTAGCAATTGGTACGTATAATCACATACCCTTTGCTTGAAGCACGCGGAATGCCACGAAATTGTGTTAGTTTCACATATGGTATTCATGAAATATTTATGTGTTGTGATAGATCTCTCTTTTGTGGTTATGGAAACCCTGAGTACTGTTGAAGATATAATTTAGATTTAAATTATTGTTGCACTTAATTAGGAATAAGTTTTAAATATTTAAAGTTGTTTTCTGTTTTAAGTTGTTTTCTGTTTTTATATTATTTCCTATTTTAAATATAAGCATTTAATATTGCTTATAAAATATGTACATCTGAGAAGAAAAAATATGAATGAAAGGATTGTATTTTATTCCCAGTGAATTGTTTAACATGGTATCAGATGTTTTCTAATTCCGGGAATATTTATCTTCATCTCCGCACTGTTTCCAATCCCTAAATTTCTCATTTCACCATGGCCAACCCATCTTCCAATATTATCATTCAGCAAGATAATTCTTCTTTTCCCATCACTGTTATTCTTGATGACTCAAACTACCCCCTTTGGTCCCAGTTAATGGACATGCGTATTGGTGCTCGAAACAAATCGGGGTATCTCACTGGGGCAACTGCGAAACCCTCCATTGATGACCCAACCTATGATAACTGGATTACTGAGAATAAACGGGTGAAAAGTTGGCTTATTGATTCCATGAGTCCCCCGTTGATGCAGCGGTTTATCCGCCTTGAATCTGCCCATCAAATTTGGGATGCAGCTCTCCGCACATTCTACGATGGATCCGATGAAACTTGCCTCTTCGAACTGAACCAACGATCTTTCTCCACCAAACAACATGGTCGTCCCCTCTCTACTTATTATAACGAACTACTCTCCATATTTCAAGAAATTGATCATCGTATGTCTTCTTCTGAAACCACCGTGAATGGCGTAGTCCAGATGCATTCTTCCATGGCTCGTCTACGTGTCCACATCTTTCTTAGCGGCTTGGATTCTGATTTTGACCAAGTTCGTGGAGAGATTCTTCGTAAAGACCCAAAATTGGATCTTGAGAGCACATATGCCTATGTCCGTCGTGAACATCAACAACGTATCACTATGGGTCGTCCTGCTCCTACCTCGGATTCCTCAGCTCTACTATCTCAAGTTCCTCATTCTTCTGCGGCCAATTATCCTCCTAAACACCGCAAGGATAGTTCCTCTGCGAAACCCTTGTTATGTTCTCATTGTGGTGATTCTGGTCACTCCAAGAATCGTTGCTACGAAATCATCGGCTATCCAACGTGGTGGGACTTCACCAAACGTCCTCGCAGAAAAATCTCCTCCAAAGCCCTCAATTCTTCTTCTGATGGTGACTCATCTCCCTCTCCTCAAGCTAATGTTGTGTATGAAGGTATTCTAGGTAAAACTCTTGCTTTCTCTACTCACTCTAGGAATTCTACTTGGATAATTGATACTGGCGCATCAGATCATATGATTCATGATGCTTCTATGTTACAACATTGTTTCCCATGCAGTAAGTCCACCATAACCACTGCTAATGGTGGTTCTGCCTCCATTACTGGTCAGGGTACCATTACTCTATCAAAAACTCTCACTCTTCATTCAGTTCTTGTCGTTCCTTCTCTTGATTTCAATCTTTTATCTGTTAGTCAACTTACATCACAACTTAACTGCAGTGTGATTTTTTGGCCCACATTTTGTGTTTTTCAGGACGTCCAGACCAAGGTGATTCTTGGCTATGGTGTTAGACGTGGTAATCTTTACTTCTTAGATGTCTCTGAGGGTGGTACTGACTTGCATTGCAGAGCATCTGCTACTAACACTCCAGATTCTTCTCATTCTGCTACTTGGCTTTGGCATAAAAGACTCGGACACCTTTCCTTTGGTTATCTTCAAAAATTGTTNTGCAGGGTGGTTGGAATGGAATGGGACGTTTGCATTGGATACTTTGTATTATGGAGAGTACAACAATAGAGGTCCTGGTGCAAATACAAGTGGCAGAGTTACGTGGCCTGGTTATAGAGTCATCACCAACTCCACTGAGGCAAGCCAGTTCACAGTTGCAAATTTCATTCAAGGCAATGAATGGCTGAACTCTTATGGCATTCCATTCTTCTCTGGCTTGACTTGAATAAGTGCATGCTCTTATTCCATGAAGTATCACTTTTTTGGTCTTTGCTATTTCTGGTGCCACTTAGCAATCAAGTAAAAAGAAATAAATGTTCTCATTGGAGACCTCACCACTAGGAAGGTTAGGGACATACTTCAAGATGTGGAGGACCTAAGAGCAAAGAAGCTCTTGAATAAGTTTTATCTATATTATTTGAATACTTTGAATACAAACCTATGCTTCAATGAGAAAATATCAAAGTGCTGAATTGTATGGTCTAAGTAGAACATAATTAATTCTCACTTTGTCGTAATTTTTAAGTAATTAAGTTGTTTGAATAATGATTAAATCCTTTATAAAATTTGTAAACCGAATTATATTTTGGATTAATCAATTAATGGGTTTTAATTTAGTTTTATTTCAAGTTGTAATTAAAATTCAATTCACAACTTTTGTCATCAACGTTTGAAAAACCAAAATAATACATCATTAAATATTTTTTGAATGATTTTTAGTTGCCATTATAATCAATAATTAAGTAATGAGATCATGGTTATCAAACTCTAAGGAGTTAACTCGTAAACTCTTACGAGTTTACGTTTCTAGACATGACTTCTGAGTTAATTCGGAAGTAAACTC